TGTACTATGAGAATTAACAGTAAAACTACTACTCAAACAGTATTCTATATTTCGTGTGTCAGTGTGGGTGCAGTCTGTTGAAATCTTTACTTAGTATGTACTAAGTTTATCTTCTATATATAAAGATAATTGAAAATGAATATTGATGAAGAATGGGATGAGAGAGGGAGTGGGAGATTGGATGTTTGCGGGTGGGAGGGAGGTTATGGGGGGGAAGCTGCAACAATTCAAAAGCTGTACTTTGGAAATTTATATTTATTAAATAAAAAAATTATAAAAGATACTCACTGAAAGAGCAGATACTCCATTAATCCACAGTTAAAAGCCATCACAGGGGAAAAAAAAAAACAATTGTCTCCAGAGATACCAAAAAATGAATGCAGCAACTGAAGAAACAAGAATAAGGATGACAACATGATGCTTTCAAAGGAACACAATACTTTAATACTAGAATGTGAAAATAAAGAGATTGAAGAAATGCCAGAAACTGAATTCAAAAGAATCATTCATAGGATTACTTAAAGATAACTGAAAATGAATCTTGACGAATGGGATGGGAGAGGGTGTGGGAGATGGGATGGATGAGGGTGGGAGGGAAGTTATGGGGGGAAAAGCTGCTATAATTCAAAGGTTGTACTTTGGAAATTTATATGTATTAAATAAAAGTTCAAAAAAAGAAGTAATCAGAAGCAAATCCATGAATTAAAGAAATCCACGGGTTGGTGCTGTGGCATAGCAGGTAAGCAACAGTCTGCAGTGCTGGCATCCCATATGGGCGTTGATTTGAGACCCAGGAGATCTACTTCCAATATAGCTCTCTGCTATGACTTGGGAAAGCAGTAGAAGACGACCCAAATTCTTGGGCCCTGTACCTGCATGGGAGACCCAGAAGAAGCTCCTGGCTCCTGGCTCCAGATGGGCCCAGCTCTGGCTATTGCGGCCATTTGGGGAGTGAACCAGCAGATGGAAGATCTCTCTCTCTCTCTCTCTCTCTCTCTCTCCCCGCCTCTGCTTCTCTGTAGCTCTGCCTTTCAAATAAATGAATCTTTAAAAAAAAAAGAAATCCATACATGACTTAAAGGAATATTTTCCCATGAAATTGAGATTTTAAAGAGAAATAAAAATTAAATATTGAAGTATTCAAAAAATCAAATAAAAATGTAATGGAAAGCCTTGGGCCATCCTCCACTGCCTTCCCAGGCCACAGCAGAGAGCCGGACTGGAAGAGGAGCAACCGGGACAGAATCCAGCACCCCGACCAGGACTAGAACCCCGGGATGCCAGCGCCACAGGCAGAGGATTAGCCTAGTGACCCGTGGCGCCTTCCCCACTGGCTGTTGTCTTATGCCCTAATACACGTTTCACTGGTAAATCACAAACTCTTCTGATTAAAGGTGACTGAAAACAGAGATCAAGTAGGAAGATATCCTGAAGCTAGCCACATAAGTGAGAAAATTTTACTTCATTCATCAAATATTTATTAAGTGCTTGTTCTCACCAAGCCCATGCAAAGTATGGGCCTGATAAAGAGAATACAGTACTTGCTCTCAGAGAAGTGACAACTTGTGCATATCAAAGGTGAGCATTGGTTGAGGATGGCAGAGATATACTTCTCAAACTATTCAAAACAATTGAAATGAAGAGAATCCTCCCAAACTCCTCTATGAGGAGTTAATTCAAAATCACCTTAATTCAAAATCAGAAAAAGATACAACAGAGAAAGAGGATTCTAGACAAATATTCTTGAGGAACATCGATGCAAAAATGCTCAATAAAATGCTAGCTAATCGAATCCAACAACACATAGGAATTATTCACCCATACCAAGTGGGTGCAAATCAATAAATGTGATGCATCGCCTTAACAAACTGAAGAATAAAAAATATGACTATCTCAATATGTGCAGAGAAAGCATTTGATAAAATACATCACTTAATAATGAAAACCTTAAAAAAACTTATTATAGAAGGAACATTCCTCAACACAATCAACACAATATATGACGAATCCACAGCCAGCATCATACTGAACAGGGAAAACTTGGAAGCATTTCCAATTAAGATCCAGAACCAGACAAGGGTGACAGCTATCACCACTTCTATTCAATATGATCCTGGAAGTTTTAGCGAGAGCCATTAGGCAAGAAAAAGAAAGCAAAGGGATACAAATTGGAAAAGAGGAAGTCAAATTATCCCTGTTTGCAGATTATGTGATCCTATATAGAGAGGAATCAAAATATTTCATTGGGGACTATTGGATTTGTAAGAGAGTTTTGTACACTTGTGGGCTATAAAATTAACACTAAGAAACCAATAGTCTTTAATTCCAAAACTAGAAAAAGACATTCTTTGCAGATCAAAAAAAAGATGCTAAAATTCATACAGAAACACAAGAGACCTCTTATGAAACAAAATCAAAGCCAGAAGCATCACAATATCTAATTTAAAGACATACTAAATGGCAGTTATAATCAAAACAGCCTGGTACTGGCACAAAAACAGTCTTGTAGATGAATGTAACAGAATAGAAACTCCAGAAATCAATCCATGCATCTACAATCCTCTTACCTTTGATATAGGAGTTAAAATCAATCCCTGGAGCAAGAACAGTCCCTTTAACAAACAGTGCAGGGAAAACTTGATCTCCACGCATAAAACTATGAAACTATACCCCTACTTTAAACTGTACACAAAAATCCACTCAAAATGAATCAAAGCAGGCTGGTGCTGTGGCACAGCAGGTAAACTGTAGCCTGGAGTGCCAGCATCCCATATGGGTGCTGGTTCGAGTCCCAGCTGCTCCACTTCCAATCCAGCTCCCTACCAATAGCCTGGGAAACCAGTATAGAATGGCCTGAGTGGGTCCCTGCACCTGCATGAGAAACCCAGAAGAAACACCTGGCTCCTGGCTTCAGATCAGCCCACTCCAGCTGTTGCAGCCACTTGGGCAGTGAGTGAACCAGTGGATGGAAGACCTCTTTCTCTCTTTGTCTCTGTCTCACCTCTGTAACTGACTTTCAAATAAATAAATAAATCTTAAAAAATGAATCAAAGACCTAAATCCATCACCTGACACCATCAAATATTAGAGAACATTGGGAAAACTCTGCAACAGAATTGCATATGCAGTCTTGGAAAAAAATCTCAAAAAAGATCCCAGAAGCATAGGCCATGAAATCAAAGCCAAAATTGACAAATGGGATTACATCAATCTGAGAAGCTTCTGCACTACAAAAGAAACATTCAGCAAAATAAAGAGGTGACTGACAGAATGGGAGAAATTATTCACAAACTACACAACTTTGATAAAGGGTTAACATCCAGAATCTATAAATAGCTCAAGAAATTTAACAATAAAACAAACAATCCAGTTAAGGAATGAGCAAAGGTCTTGAACAAGAATATCTCAAATAAATTCAAATGACCAACAGACACATGAAAAAATGTTCAAGAACACTAGCCATTAGGGAAATGCAAATCAAAACCACAATGAAGTTTCACCTTTCTCCAGTTAGAATGGCCCTCATATAGAAATCAGCAAATGACAAATGTTGGTGAGGATGTGGAGAAAAAGGTACCCTAATCCACTGTTGGTGGGAATGTAAACTGGCATGGCCACTGTGGAAGTCAGTATGGAGATACCTCAGAAATCTGAATATAGACCTACCATATGACCCTGCCATCCCACTCCTGGGAATTTACCCAAACCCAAAGACATCAGCATATGAGAGTTATTTGTACTTCTATGTTCACTGCAGTACAATTCACAATAGCTAAGATATGGAATCAATCAAGATGTCCATCAACTGATGACTGGAAAAAAATACTGTGGTATATATAAGCTGTAAAAAAAAAAAATGAAATCCTGTCTTTTGTAACAAGATGGCCACAACTCGAAACTATTATACTCAGTGAAATAAGAAAGCCTAAAAAAGACAGATATCATATATTTTCCCTGATCTGAGGTAACTAATAGAGTACCTGAAATGTAATGTATTGGCATGAAACAGACATTTTGAGAACTGATTATTTTTTATAGCCCTTGTCTCTTCCGTTGAGAAACAGTGTTTGCTTTATTTTGTTTTTCTCTTCATATTATTGCTGAACTCCTTTACTTAGAATAGGGTTAACTATATGATCGTTAAGTATACTGAAAAATCAAGAGTGGGAATCTGAGAGGGAGTGGGAGGAAGCATTGGAGCATGGGAGGGAGGGAGGTTTGGGGCAGCAGGGAAGTGACACTATGTTCCTAAATCTGTATATATGAAATATATTAAAGTTGTATAACTTAAAATTTTTTAAAAAATACAGAGTATAAAACATTAATGTATATGAGTGAAATAGACATTCTGAGATTTGAGTACTGTTTATATTATTGAGGAATAGTGGTTTTCCTACTTAATATTTGCTGAATTCTTTATTTGGTGTAGGGTTAAGCTTTAGGTTATAAAATACATTGAAAGTATGTAATTGTAAAAATTAATAGAAAAAAAGAATAGAAGAAAGAAGGAGGATGGGAGTGTGGGAAGTATCATTATGCCCTTAAATTTGTATATATGAAATACATGAAATTTTCTCACCTTAAAAAAATAAAGGTATCTAATTCCCTCTGTCTCTTTCTCTCTCTCTCTCTCTCATCCTCTCTCTCTCTCTGTGTGTGTGTGTGTGTGTGATAGAGAGACAGGAGAGAGAGAGAGGATAGAGAAGCGAGTAGGGACTGTCAGAGGGAAAATGAGGAAGGAAGGGAAGGCTACAAATGTATCTCAATAGGCTAGGGCATGACAACATTTCTCAATTTCAACCAGAGACCTAGATAGAAAATAGAAAAGGGTGCTCCATCACTAGGCTGTGGACCCATCCTTGAAATACATTCGCCAAAACGAAAGGGGTCTCTCTTTAATCTCCCGTTCTACTATTATTCAGTATAAGGCACAAGTGACATAAGTGAAATTGTTTCAATCATACCACCCCGACTAATTGGTTTTGTTTGTTTTATTGAAGCAAGACCTGGGCAGCCTACAAGTAAGTGCTCCTTTCAATCTCTATTATTACATTATTTCTATCTGGAAGCTATTAGTAGGCTGATTTGTACCCTGTTGTGACTTAAGATTTGTATTTCTGATTCTATTTGCTAACTTTTTTCAGCATTAATCACCCTTTAGTTTTTTTTTTCCCATTACTATTCTAGGTACTTTTTCCATTTTCAACTATCGATGTCTATTTGGAGACTCCAATTGAAACTGATACCTGATTACTTGATGATGCTGTGATAATGTTTACCCGTACTACAATGTGCCTGGCACTGTACTCAAGCTTTACGTGTGTGTGTGTGTGTGGTGTGTGTGTAAGTATGTATGAGTGTCTATATGTATTTATGATAAATATTTCTATTCCCATTATATAAGAAGAAATTGTGAGACTCGTTACTTGCCCATGATCTCCACCTCTAAGCGCCAAGTCTACCTAACTGACTTTAAAGTCAACAGTGCCTACATTCAGCCAAATGGTCCCCAGCCATAATATTTTATGCTATGGATGAAAAAGAAAGTATTTTATACTGCCTAAAAACACAATTATTAA